CATCTGATAAATGTATTCTCCCGGCCGAATTCCCAAGGGATTTTGTTACGTCCCTAACTCCAGCCGGTCTGTCAGTCACCGGGGTGGGCTGGTGGGGAGGGGAGGGTGGTCCAGGAACAAAGGGGCCTTTGGTCTCCCCGTGGTACCCCCAAGCCCCGCCCCGTCCTGGAATGAAGATGCTGGGCCCCTGGGCGAGTGCTGGGGCGGAGGTTTCTGTGTTGGACGGACAGAGAGCCGGGGAACTGAGCGTGGCTGAGGGAGGGGAGTGGTCCGCGCAGGCACAGGTAGAGCCCGGACTAGGACCCCCTCTCCAGTGTGGCCGGTGCCCTTGGGGAGGTGACCTTGACAGGTGACCTTGCCGAGAGTGGATGAACCATACGGCTGGCTGCTGACGCCCATGCCATAGGCTTGACCGATGTCCTTTCTCAGCCTCCGGGCACCGTGTGACACAGGTGGAAACTGAGGCCCAGAAGGCGGAGCTCCTTGCCTGGTTAGGGGGGGGCAGGAGGATCTGCATCTGTTTGTCTGCTCTCTCTCTTTAAAACAAAAAAATTTTTTTTTAATTGATTTTTTTACAGAGAGGGATAGAGAGTTAGAAACATCGATGAGAGAGAATCATCAATCAGCTGCCTCCTGCACACCTCCTACTGGGGATGTGCCCACAACCAAGGTACATGCCCTTGACGGGAATCGAACCCGGGACCCTTCAGTCCGCAGGACGAGGCTCTATTCACTGAGCCAAACCGGTTTTGGCCTGCTCTCTCTCTCTTGTTGTTCTCATGAAGGACAGAGGCGTGAAGGACTAAGACCTCCGTTAAAGGAGACGGTGGCCGGGTGCCCTTGAGGAGCCACTGTGCTCCCCGGGCCTCAGTGTACTCGCCTGGGAAATGGGCCCCCTCCTCCTACCTGCCAGGTGGGCACGGGGTGAAAGGGCCTTGTGGGTGGTCTGAAGGAAAGGCGCTTGTCTCCACCCGCTCACTCTTCCCTCCCTCCCTCTCTCCCTCCCTCCCTCCCTCTCTCCCCCCCCCATCCCTCCCTTCCATGGAGACTTGCTCTGAGCCGGCTCAGGCCTGGGCCGAGGACGGTCACCGAGAACCCGTGGCCTTTGCCCTTGGCCCTGGCGTGCACTGGCCGGTCCCTCTCCTCTCTGGGCCTGGGCGTCCCCACCTCCTCTTTGTCCACCTCCCGGGTCAGTGCGATGCTGACAGTGAAATGCACCCCAGCGGGGACCTGGGCTCTGAGGGCTCTGCTCCTTTCGGGGGAATCCCAGGGCCCCGGGGGCGGGACCCCTGCCCTCAGAGCCGGAGGTCCGGGTGCGGGCGATGAGCCACGCGGTCACTGCAGAGCCACCGCCCAGCCTGACCCTGCGCTGGCCCAGGGCAGGCACCAGGCCGGTGGGAGGGAGAGACGCCGTGGCTGGGGGCTGTGCGCTGTATCCTAGATCAGCAGGGACCTGAGACCGAGGCACTTGGACGTGCTTAACAGGGAATCTGGAGCGCCCCACACGCCGGATGTGGAGGAGGCTGTGTCTGCCCGGCGGGGGGAGGGGGTGGGGGGAGCCTGGGCGCCTTCCTCGCCGGGGGAGGGGCGGCCAGGATGCTCCTCTGACGTGGGGGAAGCCTGGGAAGTGGGAAAACCGGAGGAGGCCTGGTGTTTACAGCTCCTGAGCCCCCTCCCCAGGGCCAGGGGGGGTCTGAGCACCATGGAGAGCACCCCCAGTGCCTGTGGGCCTCCAGGCCTGGGAGGCTTTCCAGGGACCCCGCCCCCACCTCCCGCTCTCTGGGGAGGTGCCCGCCTGGGGCCTGGGAGGCAGCTGGCATCGCTGAACCCTGCAATTAGCAGCGGAGGAGGCTGGGTGGTGGTGGTGGCAGAGCGTGCGGGGTGGGGGTAAGGGGTGGGGGGGCGGGCTGGCAGCTACAGCTGGTGCTGCTTCAGCCTCGGGGTTGGGGGGGGCCTCACTTTCTGCCCCAGAGCAGAGGGGTGCCAGGGTGGTGGTGGGCGCCCAGGCCCAGGGCACCGAGGCCTTGGGCAGGGACACAGAGCACAGGGAGAGCCAGAGAAATAACACTGACAGGAAGGCCATGTGATTGGATGTGGGTCTGGACAAGCCCGTCGCTTTTGTTCCCATTTTACAGATCAGGAAACAAAGGCCCAGGGAGGCAGGGGCTTGCTAGAAAGCACACAGCCAATCAGGAAGCAGCTGGGTCAGAAGCCAGGCTTGGAGGGAGGTCTGGGGAGCAAGGGGCTCGCTCTGGGGTACGGACTTGAGGCAGGGAATCCCAGGGCATCTGCCCAGGTAGGGTGGTCGGGCTGGGCAAACACCATCTCAGCTGGAGAGCGGGGAAGGACGAGCCTTCAGAGCGGATCCCAGGGCCCTGAGCTTCGGGCTGCGGGAGGCGGGGGGAGGGGCGGGATCTGGCCCAGCCGGTTCTCCAGCCTGTCCAGGCACCAGAGGAGGCGGAGGCGGGACACGGCTGCCCCCGGGCTACTGTGGCTTTCTTGGAAGCTTAGCTGACCAGCAGAAGGACCCGACAGAACCAGTCCTGCAGGTATTGCAGAGGGACTGGGCTGGGAGCCGGGAGGTCGGGGTGGGGGATGGGGGTGGTTCTGGCTTTAACCTTCTACCATCCCATCCGTCCCATCCATCCATCCCATCCATCCATCCATCCTTTCCTTTTTCTTTTTTTCAGACAGGAAGGGAGAGAGGAGAGAGAGTTAGAAACATCGATGAGAGAGAAACATCGGTCAGCTGCCTTCTGCACACCCCCCACTGGGGATGTGCCCCCAACCAAGGTACATGCCCTTGACCGGAATCGAACCTGGGACCTTTCAGTCCTCAGGCCGACGCTTTATCCACTGAGCCAAACCCGTTTTGGCCTTTCCTTCCTTTTAGGATGCCCCCTGGGCCCAGGGCACCGTGCTGGCTGCTGGGAGGGTTTTTTTGCCCCGTAGGCCAGAGGGTCCGGTGGGCCAGACAAGCAGGCAAGTGACAGCCCACCAATGCTCTCAGGAGCTGAGCTTCGAAGGGCTGGTGGGAGTCCGTGGGGGAGGGGCCAGCAGGCTGGCCGAGAGGAAGTCCATCTGGCTGCAGGAGTGGCACCCCATGGGGCCTGGCCGTGGGGAGTGTGGGTCTGGCCTGGAATGGGGGTGTCCCCCTCACCAGCTGCGCGGCCTGGGGACAGTCACTCGCTCCTCTGGGCCTCTGCATCCTCTGTGGGCAGTGAGAGGATGGGAGTGCCCGCCTCATGGGAGGGAAGCCCATGGCATGGCTCAGGGCATTAGCGGCCCTCCCTGAGGTGACGAGGAACCTGCCAGAGCTCCGAGGTCACGAGGAAACACACCCACAGGCCTCCGGGGCCCAGGCAGTCCCAGACGTGGGGGGGGATTAGGGCGAGGCTGCAGAGCATGGCAGACTGCTGCCCACCGGGTAACCGTGCCCGGTGCGGGGGCACCGGCTCTCAGCCTGGCAGCTGTGTCCGTGCGGGCCTGGGAGCTCAAGGCCATCCAAGCTGCTGGCTTCTCAGGAGGAAAAAACCTCTATGTTTATGAGAAAATCCCCATGACTGATACCAGCAGTGCATTCGTTTCTACAGCATCGCGGGAGCCAGAGTGGACACCTCGGCTGGCAGATGCCTCCGCCGCCGCCATCACCACCCGGACGGGGACGGGAGCAGGGAGGGAGCCCGCCATCCAGGTCTGGACAGCCTCGCAGCCCTTTGTCTGTGGCTGCCTCCCCCGTCTTGGGTTTCCCTGGTAGAAAGGAGGTGGGCGGGCAGACCCCCTCTTCACGGACATTCTCGGGGGTGCCCCGCCCACCAGCAGGGGCTGGAATGGGGCCCCTGCTCCACGCTATCTCGCCGGAGGTGCCAGGGAGTCTGGGGGAGCCCGGAGGTGCCAGGGAGTCTGGGGGAGCCCAGCCGCTGGTCTGCTCTGTGTCTGGGAATGGCATGTCTGCCCGGGGCCTGGGGGAGGCGGCTCTCAGGGCTGCTGTCAGGGAGGGCCTGGTTCCTAGCTCCCAGGGGTCAAAGGGCAGCACTGTCAGCCTCTTCTGGGGGCCTACTTCCTGTTGGGGAGAGAAAAACAGAAAGACCCCTGGCAGGAAATGGTCTTCTTCCTGCAGCCCCTTTTCCAATGGCCCTGGCTTCTGGGGAAAGATCCACTGCGGTGGGGATCCCCATGGCTGGGTGTCCCCAACTCCATCCTCTCCCCTTGGAGCTCAGGAGGGGCCAGGGGACTCCCTGTCATGACAGCAAACCCCACCTCACAGGCCCGGTCAGTTTAGGCTGGCAACAGGCAAATATTCAACGCCTGGATTTATCACCCCCGGCTGGGCTCCCAGGCCTGCCTCTCCCCTCCCGTCAGCCCCCAAGGCTCATCATGGCTTCCCCTGGTTGTGGCTTCAAGAAGAAAGTCCTGCCGGTTTGGCTCAGTGGATAGAGCGTCAGTCTGTGGACTGGAAGGTTCCACGTTGGATTCCGGTCAAGGGCATGTGCCTTGGTTGAGGGCACATCCCCAGTAGGGGGTATGCAGGAGGCAGCTGATCGAGGTTTCTCTCTCATCGATGTTCCTAGCTCTCTATCCCTCTCCCTTCCTCTCTGTAAACAATCAATAAAATATATTTTTTTAAAAAAGAAGGAAGTCCTTGAATGCTGCTCCCCACCGCCAGCAGGGGGCCCAGCCCCCCCCCCCCCCCTCACAGGCCTGACCCAGGGAACTCACCCCTCCCGCAGGTTAGCACAATCCCAACAGCCTCCTCTCCAGAAACCTGGCCCTGGGGCTCACAGAAGGGCCTCATCACGGGCAGGTGTCTCCAACGCTCAGAAATGCGTGCTGCCGTGCTAATAACAGCTCCCACCGGTGTAATGTCAGTCTGCTGGTTACAGGGGGACTTTGGGGACGAAGAATCCAAAATAGTAAAATTACCTATCATTTCAATGCCTAGACGAGATAAAAGGGTTTCTTATTTATTGTTTACACTTGCCTCTGGGTAAACTGCCAGTCCCCTGAACCCCATTCCTGGTGGCAGGGCCCAGCTGGCACACCCCTCCTCTCCGCGGCATGCCTCCGAGCGCTTCAAGAACAACGCACCTTTTCTGAGCTCCCGACGAAGCCATCTGATTCTCAGGACGGCTCTGGGAGACACCTCATTTACAGAGAGAGAGACGGAGGCTCAGAGAGCCCAAGTCACTTCTCCAAGGTTGCACAGCCAGCAAGGGGCAGAGCGGAGAGTCCATCGATGCCAGAATTTAAGTCTCCTCTTCTCCAGATAACACGTGCACCATCCTGTCTCCTTCCCCTCCCAGGAACATCCTGCAGCTCAGATGTTCATTCATTCATTCATTCATTCTCACATTCATTCATTCACTTGATCTTTTTGAACTTCAGTTCGGTGCAAGTGTAGGCTGATGCTGCCTGGAGCTCAGGACTCCACCCCAAGAACCTCAACTCGTTTATTACCAAATCACATTGTAGTGTGAATAGCTCCCACCCAGCCCCCAAGGCTCAGAGAGGCAGCCTGGGCTGGGGACCCAACGGACCATCTCTTGACACCTCATCCCCCCTCCACGAGATTCCTGGTGGGGGGGGGGGGAGAGCCTGGATCAGGCCTGGGGGGTGCGTATTGTGTTTATAGCACCGGACACGTATATAAAAATATATCTATATATATAAACACAGGACGTTGGCAGGGGTGCTCCCGGGGCGAGAACGGGCAGCTGCATCAGTGAGCGGCCGGTCAGCCGGAGCACCCAGGGGTGGGGGGCTGTGGCCCGGGCGCTCTAGGCCACCTGGATCTGCAGGTCCTCGTCCTCATCCAGGTCGCTGGCTCCGTCCCCGGCCTCCTCGGGGCCAAAGCGGGCGCTGCTGCGGATCTTCCCGAAGAGGGGGGCGTTCTGCTGCTGCCGGCGGAGCCTGGGGGGCGGGGGGGGCGGGTCAGGGCGTGGGCCTCATTGCCGGGCGGACAGCAGCATCCCGCCGGCTGCCAGCCGCTGCCAGGCACCAGGTTGGGCCTTTACAAACATGACCTCATCGCAGCCGCCTCCCTGAGCCCCCCCACCCCCCATGACAGGAGGTGCTATTATTATCACCTCCGTTTTACAGACAAAGAAACCGAGGTATGAGGCAGGTGGCAGGTGAGTCATGTGCCGGAGTAATGTGGGCGGTGAGAGTGGGCTGGGGGCTTGGAGAGGTGAGCGGCTGGCTGCTCAAGGTCACGGTCACACCGCTGGGAGTGCAACCCCAGCCCGGCTCTGAGGACCACGGGGGGGTGGGGGTAGGGGGCAGGGGGCGGGGGTCTCGGTGTCTGTGAGAAAGTGCCCCGCCCCAGTTCCTCTCTCATCGAAGTTCCAAACCGAACGCCCCGGGCGCACTTGGGCCCAACGCCCCTCCCCCGCAGAGCGGCTGCTGCCGGCCTCGCACAGGAAGCATGAATTATTGACGCGGCCGGCGGGGAGGGGCGCGCCGGGGGCTCCATTACCGCGCGGTGATTTAGTGCCCCATCCCCATCCCCGGAACATTAAAAGCTCAGAAAGTTGGAGAACACGAGGCAGCGGTCCTGGGCGGCCGCCTCCCCCCCCCCCCCCATGGAAGCACTTGAGAGGCCGGGCAGTGCCCGCCCGTCCATTCCCGGAGTTTATGGCTCCCGAAGAATGTGGCCAAGGCGGCGGGAAAGCCCCGGGGCCAGGCGGCCTTTTACGGGGTGCGAGCTGGGGCGGGGGAGTGGGCAGAGCTGGGCAGAGCTGGCCAGACGCAGCCGGAGGGACTTGGAATGGCGCCTGGGCCCCTGCCTGACGCTGCATAGGAACCATCCCAAGCAGAAGGGGAAACTGAGGCTCGGCGGGCCGTGTCACACGGCCGTTAGGTCTGGCTCCATCGCCTGTGCCCTTCCCGGAAGCACGAAGGATGCTCATGGCAGCACACAGTAGGTGCTTAGGAAACAAGGGCCCCGGGGGCAGATGGAGGCGTGGCTGTGGAAGGACGACGGACCCTCTTGGGCCTTCGTTTCCTCATCTGCCAACCGCCTAGGAACTCCCCCTTCCCTCCTTCCAGGAGCACAGTTCTCGTAGCACCGAGTCTGACCCACTCAGAGCCCCCACACTGGGGTGAGAGGAACAGAGCGGCTTTTATGAGGTGCCAGATACTTTTATAAACACATACCAGCTCCTTTAATTCTAACAACCGAGAGGTAAGAGCTGTTACCGCCCCCCATTTTACAGATGGGGAAACGGACACAGAGGGGGTAAGTGCGTGCCCCAAGATCACACAGCGACGAAGGACCGAGCCAGGACTGCCACCACCCAAGCAGAGCCCAGGCTCCCTCTATTCCACGAAATAAGAGGACGGGAGGAAGGGCCTGCCCAGGGCCCAGCCCAGGGAGCGGGGGTCAGGGTTGTGGTTATGAGGCCCCTCAGGTAGGGGACTTGTGAAGTGGGGAGGGGCTTGGACCTGATGCTCTCTGATATCGTACGGCTCTATAAGAGGTATCAGAGAGAGGGTACAGTCACTGGGTGCTGGGATGGGGGGGGGGGGGAATGCAGAGTGTGCTGGTGGGTTCCCCGGAGCCTGGGGTCTGTCTGCGGACTCACTCGGGCCTACCATCAGGCTGGGGCTCCTCCAGTTCCTCTGATCCCAGCTGGCCTGGGGTCCACCCAGCCCAGGACCCCGAGGGCTGTTTGTTTTTCTGGTCAATGGCTTCCCAGGCCCATGGGCCCTACCTATTACCCCACCTTGGCCTTGACCTGTTTGGCCACCCTTCCTGCTCTCCGGCTGCAGGAGACAATTCCAGGGTCCCAGCTGGCCTCGCTTCCTGCTCTCACTCCCCTCCCTGGTTTCCTGGCCCCGGCCCTTCCTGCCGGAGAGGACAGGATTTTGGCCCCAGGGAGTCCGGCCCTCTTCCTCCTCCTCCTCCTCCTCCATCTGAGCTCAGACCCTGTCCGGAGGAGGAGGAGGAGGAGGAGGAGGAGATGGAGGAGGAGGAGGAGGAGGAGGAGGAGGTGGAGGAGGAGGAGGAGGAGGAGGAGGAGGAGGAGGAGGGGGAGGAGGAGGAGGAGGAGGGGGAGGGAGTGGGGTGGGGGAAGCTTTTCCTTTAGCTGGAAGTCTCTTTGTCCTGCTCCTGTGCCCTGGCCAGGAATCCTCTCCCAGATGGAGCCCCACCCCCGGGGAGCACGTGGGACCCACCTGGACTGCACGTGCTCTAGCTGCACCTGCAGGTTCTCGCTCTGCTCCGTCTGCTCGTCCAGCGACCGCTGCAGCTTCCGCGCCTGGTTGTGGGCCTCGTCCAGCTGCGGGGTGAGCAGCGCCGAGAGCATGGGGTCACCTGGCCCGGGCCAGCCTGGCCTGCCTCCTGCCATTCGCCCGCAGGCCTGTCCTTCCCAGAGGGCAGGCCCTGTCTCCTCCGAGGCCTCGACCAAGGGAGCGTCCCCGGTGCTCCTCTCCATCCGCTGCCCCTCCCTTCTGAGCCCGCCCCTCCTCCAACACCCCACGCTGCTGGCCCATCCATCAACCCACCTACCCTCATCCGTCTGTCCCCTGTGACCGTCCATCCATGGAAATATCCATCTGCTAGGAAGATACCCACCTACCCACTCCACCGTTCATTCATCTGTTTAGCCACCCCTTCACCTTGCCTGTCCATGTGTCCTTCCGTTCTCCCAGACAGACACACCCATGTCTCCATCTACCCATCCTTCTGTCCTTCTCTCCCTGGCCACTCATTCTTCCACCCACTGATCCAGTCAGTGGTCTATCCATCTTTCCACTGTCATCCATCTTTCCATGTCCTCAACCATCATCCATCGACCCACCCCACCACCCATCAGACATCTGGTGCCACCTCTCATCCATCCATCCATCCTTCCTTCCTCCCGCCCTCTCTCTCTCTCTCTCTCTCTCTCTCTCTCTCTCTCTCTCTCTCTCTCTCTCTCTCTCGCTCTCCCATTCATCTGTCCACCCAGTCTCTCATCCATCTGCTCACCCACCCCTGGAGTGACCCTTCTGTCTTTCCATTTAACCACCCACAGCCTACCCACTCATCCACCCATTAATCTAGTCAACCTCTCATCAACCTCGCCTGTCCATTTTTCTCCCCACCCTCCTACCCACACACCGACCTACCGCCCATCCATCACCCACCCACCCACCTTCCCTCCCTCCCTCCCCTGTGCACATCCTGAGCGTCGGGCTCACGCCAGGCGCCGGGGACTCGGCGTGGAGGGACACCCGCCGGGGCTGAGGTCTGGGGGCCGCCCTCGGGCCTCGGCGGTGCTCACCTCGTCCTCAGCCTGGGCCAGCTCCTTCTTGAGCTCCTCCACCCGCAGGCGCAGCTTCTTCACCTCCGCCTCATGCTGCTCCACCCGCCGGTTGGCGTGGGCCAGCTCTGCCACCTTCTCCTGGAACTGTTTCTTCAGCTTGCCGTGCACGTGCTTCAGGTCTGCCAGCTCCTGCAGGGAGCAGAGAGGGGAGGAGGGGAGGGCTCAGGGTCCGAGGGCACCGTGCCAGGCAGGTCTAGGGGTGCTGGTGCCCCCTCTCCCCGGAATCTCTCTGCCTCGTGTCACAAATACCAGCAGGAGAGGTCTGGCTGAACACCCGGAGGCTAGAGCAAGGTGACCGGACGTCTCGATGTTTAACAATGTGGCCCTCGGCGTTTTAAAAAAAGTCTAAATATCAGGACCTTGATAAAAAGCGGGACTTTTTTTTAAGACGCCTTGGGACACATTGTTAAACATTGGGACTGTCCCACCAAAAGCGGGACATGGGCCCACCTTAGGCTAGAGGTGAGAAGGCCTAGGTGGGTGACTCAGTGGCTCCCTGTTGCACGTGCAACTTTGAGGTGCCTCCTGGGAAGGACGTGGGGTGTCCGGCAGGCTACTGGAGCGGAGTTGGGGGTTTGGGTCTGGAGTCTTTGGTGCAAACATTTGTTGCATAAACAGAAGGGCTGTTGGGAGGATTAAGCGACATCATGGACCAAAAGCACTGGCGTCGGGCCTGCAGGAGGCGCTCCATAAGTGCAGGTACTGCCGAAACCGTTTGGCTCAGTGGATAGAGCACCGGCCTGCGGACTGAAGGGTCCCAGGTTCTATACAGGTCAAGGACATGCACCTTGGTTGCAGGCACATCCCTAGTGGGGGGTGTTGCAAGAGGCAGCTGGTCGATGATTCTCTCTCATCGATGTTTCTAACTTTCCTTCTCTCTTCCTCTCTGTAAAAAAATCAATAAAATATATAAAAATAAATGAATAGATAAATGCAGGTACTGCCGAAACCAGTTTGACTCAGTGGACAGAGCGTTGGTCTGTGGACTGAAAGGTCCCAGGTTCGATTCCGGTCAAGGGCATGCACCTTGGTTGCGGGCACATCCCCAGTAGGGGGTGTGCAGGAGGCTGCTGATCAATTTTTCTTTCTTATCGATGTTTCTAACTCTCTATCCCTCTCTGTAAAAAAAATCAATAAAAAAGAAAAGAAGAAAAAAATAAACAAATGCAGGTTCTGCCGTGGTCCCTGAGCCTGACCCAGAGTGGGCGCCCAGCAGGAGCAGCCTCTGCCCTTAGTTGTCACTTCTGGGGCCCCCGGGGGCTGACCCTGGACACACAGCGGGCGCTCTGCCCTGGCTGGAGGGGGAGGCAGGGCCGTCCCAGTCCCGGCCACGCCGCCCACTGCCCCACCTTGTTCTTCTCGAAGAGCGCAGCCTGGCTGGCCCGCAGGTCGCAGTCCAGGGCGCTGGCCGCCTGCCGCCGGCGGCGGGCCAGGGCCTCCTCCAGGTCCCCGACCTGCGCCCGCAGCTTCTTGTTCTCCCGCTCCAGGCCCAGCTTCTCCGTCTCCAGCCGCTCCCGGCGGCCCCACTCGGCCGCGTTCTCCGCCTGCAGCCGCTCCATCTGGAAGAGGGCGGGACAGGGTGAGGGTCCCTGGGGAAGGGGCACGGAAGGGCCCGAGCTGGACTCTCCCCCCCCCCCCCCCCCCGCTCCCTCCACTCCTCCTGGAACCGTTTTTGGCTGCAGGAAGCAGGTCCAGCTGCAGCGGCTATAATTAACTTGGCTGTTTCACGTGTGCAGGATGTGAGGGCGCTTTGGGTCTCTGTGTGGGAGAGGAACTGCCCCCCTGCAGATTGGGGGACACCCTGGGGTGTGCCTGGACCCCTTAGAGCACATGTGTCAAACACAAGGCCCGCGGGCCAAATCCGTCCCGCCAGGCCTTGCAATGTGGCCCGCACCGCGCTGTCATCACTGCACTCCGCTGCGTTTCCATCACAGTGACAGTTTATGACTGTTCAGTAAACCATTCGGCCCGTGATTTAGGCTGGATTTTAGATTTTGGCCCCTTCTCTGATTGAGTTCGACACCCCTACCCTAGAGCAACAGGCCTCTTTCAAGAGCCCAGCTGACAGAGCCAGGGCCCCATGGCCACCCCCCAGCCCTCCCGGGACCCGCCGGACGCCCCACCTCGCCCCTCAGCTCAGCCATCTTCCTGTCCATGCTGGACCTCGCCCCCAGCTCGTCCTCCAGGTCCTCGGACATGCGGCCCAGCTCGTCCTGGTGCGCCTCCTTCAGGATGCTGAGCTGCGGAGACAGCCCGGCCTGGTTACGTGAACAGCACCCGGAACCAGCACCGAGGGTGGGCACTGGGGAGGCGTGCCCAGCGGAGAGGTGGGACCCACATGGGCCACCGGGTGTGCGGAATGGACCTTGGATCTGACCACTTGTGCTGCTTCCGACATCTCTCATTTCCCACCTCACTGCCATCTAGCCGCCCAGTGTCCACTCCTAGCCTCCATCAGTCCATTTTCCACAATAGTCGCCTAGAATGAGCTTTTAAAAAGATAAATACAGCCAAAATCGGTTTGGCTCAGTGGATAGAGCATCGGCCTGCGGACTGAAAGGTCCCAGGTTCGATTCCGGTCAAGGGCACGTACCTTGGTTGAGGGCACATTCCCAGTAGGGGGTGTGCAGGAGGCAGCTGATGGATGTTTCTCTCTCATTGATATTTCTAACTCTCTATTCCTCTCCCTTCCTCTCTGTAAAAAAACCAATAAAATATATATATTTAAAGTAAAATAAAATAAAATAAAATAAAAAGGTAAATACAAGCATGTCCCCATCCCGGGGTAAGCACTGGCCCCTCCCTATAGTCTCACAAAGCCCTCCCACCTCCCTCCTCTTAGTCCATTGTGTGGTCTCCTTTCTAAGCCTCAAATACACCCTGCTCACCCCAGGGCCTTGGCACATGTGGCTCCCTCCCTCTGCCTCCTACACTTCTTCTGAGGTTTTAGCATGGACTCTTCTCATGATCAGGCCTTGGCCTCAATGCCCCCTGCTCAGGGAGGCCTCTGCTGTCCTCCCCACCTGCAGGGGCTGCCTCCTCCACTTGCCACGACCCCCACCCCCACTAGAACGGGAGCTTTGGAGGACAGAGAGTTGTCTGTCTGTCCACCTTTGTACCCCTGTATGGCCTTGGCATTGGGGACCCCTCCATGGACACTGGCTGAACACGGTCTGCGTGTGTGATGGCAGGGATGGCCTTGCACGCACACGGTGAGGGAAAGACGTCAGATACAAAAGCGAGTCTTTGTAAGTAATCCGTGAAGCTGCGCGTTCGTGTTGTATTCACATTCTGCAAATGATCGCACTTCCCGATTTAGGAAAATTAAAAAAAAAAAAAAAGACAGACTCCTAAACCCAAGTCCCAAAGACGATGACTCAGGAGGGTGAGGGTGGGTCTGGGAATCTATTTTAGGAGCATCCCTAAGGCCAGCAGCTTCCCAGGCTCCGAGGTCCGTGGTCTTCCTGCCTTCGGAGATGCAGCCGGTCCAGCTGGCTTTCCCGGGGTGGCTCTGCCCCCTGGTGGCCATATGGGGGCCTGCATAGGAGGTGGGAAGGGCTGCCTACACTGACCCCTGCCTGCTCTGGGTTTGCCACACTGTGGTGGGGAAGAGGAGTTCCCTTCCTGCTGGCGGGAGCCTCAGTTTCCTCACTTTTGAAAGGGGGACAGCCGCCCGACGGCCACGAGGCTTCAGTGAGACCTCGCACACAGCGGGCACTCCCTGAATGCACCGTCAGACGCCTCCCCTTCATCCTGGTCCTCAAAGCTCTCCTTGCAGCCTCACCTCTCACTTACTAGAAGGCGACTAGATGTCCCGCTTTTGGCGAGACAGTCCTGATTTTGAACTTGTCCCGCGGCGTTTTTAAAAACAGTCCCGATTTTTTAAAAACCGGGACTTTTTTTTTAATAAAAAAGCCGCGGGACAAATTGTTCAAAATCGGGACGTCTGGTCACCTTCACTTACTACTACCCGCCAGCCACACTGGCTTATTTTCTGGACGCGTTAGGCTTGCGCTGGCCTCAGGACCTTTGCATCTGCTGTGCCTTCTGCTGGGAACGTTGCCCCCGTATCCTCTCAAAGGTGGCTTCTTCTAACCCCTTTAGGTCTTGCCTCAAATGTCACCGTTTTAGGCCTCTCCTCACCCACCACCCCATCCCTCTTACACTGTTTGGACTACTTCATAGCTTATGAATTTATCTGCCTGGTTCCTGCCAGTCCTCCCCTGATCCTCTTCCTGAGGGTCCTGAAGGCAGGGACATTGCCCCCACCCGGCACTCAGAACAGTGCGTGGCCGGCGCTTGGCAATCAATGAACGCCCTTCTTCTGTGCACTTCCACTGCTGAAATGCAACAGCACGATGCTGCTTCCTCCAGGAAGCCCTCCCTGGTCTCCAAGACTCACTTGCTTGAGCATCTCCTGCTTGGTCTTGCTCAGCTCCTCATACTTTATCTTCCACTGGCTAAGTTCCCCCTCCAGCTTCTCAATGTTCCTGCTCAGTGCCAGCTTATCCCTGGGGAAAGGGGACAGAGAGAGGGAGACATGGGGGTGAGCCCACCGGCGCCCTCTGCTCAGAGTCCTCCTACGCACTCTGCACCTGCAAGAACCCAAGGCCAACGTCCTTGCCTCGGCCTTCAAGGTCCTGGCACCCCACACGGTGGCAGGCACCTGGCTGTGGATTTCTCCTGGAACGATGCCCCTTCCACGAGGGCATGGTGTGAGGAGGGCACCGACCACCCCTGGCAGGTGCCTCCCTCTCCCTGGGCCCCAGGATCACGTGCCAAATACGACCCCGGCTCCTGTTTCATGCACTGTGGTTCCCTCCCTGCAAAGGCTTGGCTTGAGAACACGGTTCTGCCATTAGAAAAGCTGGAAATCGCCGAAACCGGTTTGGCTCAGTAGTAGAGCGTTGGTCTGCGGACTGAAAGGTCCCAGGTTCGATTCTGGTCAAGGGCATGTACATTGGTTGCGGGCACATCCCTGGTAGGGGGTGTGCAAGAGGCAGCTGGTGGATGTTTCTCTCTCATTGACGTTTCTATAATAACTCTCTATACCTCTCTTCCTCTCTGTAAAAAATCAATAAAACATATTAAAAAAAAAAAAAAAAGAAAAGAAAAAGAAAAACACGGTTCTGCCATTAGAAAAGTTGGAAATCACTGTCCAATGACCCTCGGATCTAGGGGCCCCCTCTTGTCACCACCACTGGGTGGGATTCCCAAGTTCTCCCATGACCCATTGCATGAATGAGAAGCCACGGGTAACAAGCACGGTGCCTGGCTCCGGCACATAGTACGTGCTCAACTAACAGCTGCACTTACTGTTTCATGCTGCCCCACCCCACACCACGCCTGGCTCCGTGCTGAGGGTCTAGCACAGAGTTCTGAGAGGAGACAGTGCCACCCTCTAGGAAGCATGTTAGACACCCATGGGGATGTTTTTGGTTGTCATGGTGACAGGGTCATGTAGTGGGCAGGGACCAGGGGTACCTGATACCTGGCAGTGCCCAGGACATCCTGCCCATCCAAGGAATTACCCTGCATCCGGTAATGTGTACATGACATCCCTGGGGGTGAAAAGGATCGAGAACCTTGCTCTGATTTGCATATTACATATTATTTGAATTAATCTCTCTATATAAAAGCCTAAGCGATTATTATGACTGGCTGGTAGCTATGATATCACTGACCACCAGGGGGCAGATGCTCAACACAGGAACTGTCCCCTGGTGGTCAGTGCACTCCCACAGCCAACCTCTTACGGTCCCTTCCCCCAAGCCTGCTGGCCCCAATGGCCGGCCAGGCCGAGGGACCCCATCCGTGCATGAATTTGTGCACCAGGCCTCTAGTAGTGATAATAATAATAATAATAATAATAGGAAACTAGCATGGGGTCCTTGGACAGAGCACACTGCTCTAATGCTGCAGGATTCAAGCCCAAACAGAACCACTCCCTTCAGCAAGTCTCACTCTCTGGGTCACTGTTCATATTGTGGTGCTGTGTTTCTGCCCTCCCACACACACACCTGCCTGCCCCTTCCCCCTGGCACCTGCCTGCCCCCAGCACTCACTCTCGTTCCTTGAGCAGCACCTTCTGGGACTCATCCAGCCGTAGGCGTAGGGCTGTCAGCTTGGAGGCCTCCTCCTCCATGGCCGCTGTGTCCTCCCAGGGCAGCCGGCTGCGCTCCTGGCGGCCTGAGCTGCCCCGAGGGCCCCCGGTCCCCGCACTGCGCGTCTCCCAGCAGCCCTCGGGCTCCTCTGCTCTGCCCTTCAGCAGGCTCTCCGCCAGCTCCAGCTCCTGCGGGGACCAGTGGCAGCTGAGTCCTCTTGGCCTCTCCCAGGCCCTGGGTCTGGAATCAGCTGGAGGGTGAGTGTGGGCAAGTCACACAGTCCTTCTGGGCCCCAGATCCCTGTTTTGCAGCCTAGAAAGACCCACAGCCTCCTCTGGGCCTCCCCTTTCTCCTGGAACTGCACATGAGTCAGCCACCAGGGTTCCCTGCATCCTGGAAGATTTCCCAGGAGAGATAGCGAGCTCCCTGTTGCTGTAAGTATGCAAACACATGGTTGGGCATTGGTGTGGATCAATGCAGACGTAGGGGATTCCTACAACGAACAGGAACTAAATTCCTCTAACAGGAATTCTGGCTTTAAGATCCCGTTTTTCAGGTGCAGACACTAAGGCACCACGAGACAGTTGACACGGTAGAGCTGAACAGCAAGGCGGCCCTGTGAGCGGAACCAGCTCCCAGACAGGAAGCTGCGAGAGATCATTAACCCAAGGCCAAGCCCCTGTCCCCTCTGCCCCCTGCCCTGCCCCTGTCCACCCCTAAGGCCTGCCTTGGCCACAAACCCCAGACACCCTGCTCCAGCCTGCCTTCCCCAAGGCCTCTCCAGGCGAGGGGGCCACTCCCTTCCCTGTCTGGCTCTTAGACTGGGACAGTGGCTCCAAGGACTGCCCAAAGAGTGAAATTCTTCTCCTCCTGTATCTCGGAGTCTGGGTGGGGGTCTCAGATGCCACCTGGTCCAATGCCCTATGATTTTTGAATCTCTCAAAAAATCGAGACTTTTTAAAAAACGCTTCAGGACGCGGGACAAATTGTTCCAAATCGGGACTGTCCCGCCCAAAGCGGATGTCTGGTCCCCTTACTCTTAGGGCACCGGGCCCTTCCCATTCTTGGCTCCAGGCCGGGCATCCTCCACCTCTACCCACATCCGCCAGCCTCTCCCCCTTGGGGACCCCAGGGCCAAGGCCAGGCCCCTGCCTGGCAGCCCCGCGGGCCTTCTCCACGCACCTGGCTGCTCTGGGGCCTCTGGGACCCGACGTCGCGCACCGGCGGCTCATGCTCCCGCTCGGGCTCCGTCCCGGGTCCGTCGGGGGGCGTCGTCGTCTGGTCGGCGGCGGCCCCCCGGGCGCCCCGCAGCCGCGCCAGCTCGCGGCCCCGCGCCTCGCACTCGCCCTGCGCCTCCTGGCGCTCCCGGCGCGCGCCCGCCAGCTCCTTGGTGAGCGCGTCCAGGCGCTGGCGCAGCTGGCGCACCTCCTCGCGCGCGCGGTTGCGCTCGGCGCGCACCTTGCTCCACTTCTCGCGCCAGTTGGCGGTGCAGTCCGACCACCAGCGCATGGTCTTCTCCATCTGCGCCGCCCGCGCCCGCGCCTCCTCCAGCTCCCGCAGCCGCAGCTCCTCGCGGCCCTCCCAGTCGCCGTCGGCGGCCAGCAGCGCGGGCGCAGGCGGCAGCGGCAGGGACAGCGCGGGGGACGGCCCGGGGGACGGGGTGCCGCTGGGCGGCGTGGGCGGCAGCGAGTCCGCCCCCGGCCCCATGCGCTCCGGGGACGGGCTGCCCAGGATGGTCAGCAGGCTGCCCTTGGACAGCTGCGGGGACTCGGCCAGCCGGGGGCTCGGCCCGTGGCTCATGGCGCCAGCAGGACTGGAGGGCCCTGGACTTGAACTTGAGGCTGGACTCAGGGGCAACGAGGGGGACGACTGGCAGATGCGATGCCGCTGCGCATGATGTCACGGCTGCTATCCACGGCTCTCCGGGCCACACCGGTTGGGGGATGCCTCCTGGGACCTGTGGGAGGGGGGGGCACACCATTAGCAGGCTGTGGCACCACCTGTCCTAATCCATAACAGCAGCCACCGGCAGGGCATAACAGGCAGAGGGAACAGCGAGGCAAAGGATAGAGAGAATGGTCTGGGCCAGGAGAACCCCTGAGGCTGGAATGGTGAGCAAGGGCCTGCAGCCGCTTCCTCACGGGTCTCCAGACTCCCTGCTTTAGTCCCTTCAACCCGCAGCAACGGCGGCTGATCTGCAGCCTTGATCTGCTGTTCCTGACCTCCAGGTCCCCTCTCACGCACTGAGCAGCTACGGCTCTCCCACCGCCATCCCGAACAGCATGCTTCCCCGCTGGCCCCCTGCCTCTTCCTACACGGGGCCAGCTCTTCTCATCCTTCACACTTACCCGAGGAATCATCTCCTCCTAGAAGTCCTTCTGGACCATCTCAGGTCCTGACCCCTGTCTGCTCCCCGTTCTCACCCCAGCCTGCAGTCTGCGGGGGCCAGAAGCTGGTTCCCAGCCCCGGTTTTAGTCTTGGCACGTGATGGCAATGACACCTGGGGAGGGCCCACTACCTTATGCCGGTACCATGCCTTATGCGAATTATCTCATTTATTTACCTCCCCAGACTTGAGAGAAAGGACTGACATTTACCGCAGAGGGCAGGGAGCCTCCGCAAGGTTAAGACCCAGAGCTGACAGATGTGGTATCTGGGAGTCCAAATGCCAACGCTGGGGAAGGTTTGGTGATCCAGGCGCGCTCTGGTGGTACGATGGAGGTCAACCAGTGCCTGTTAGATGCTGAGGGCGCAGCGAGGTGTCAGGCTCTGCTATTCGAAGGCTACGTCCCCTTTAAAGTAAACCAGACCCATGGCCCTCTCTGTCCCTAACCTGCCACCTTCTCCCTCCCTCCGCGTGGCCTCCTCCTGACGGCCTCCAGCAGCCCATGGGGACATGATGACCTTCCTTCCCCACTCAGCTAGCCCGTCCCGCCCACCAGCCCCTGGGGCCCACCCTGATCTCTGCCCCTTCCTTTTCAGAGCGACCAATGAGAGCCCTGGCTGGTCCCCACACTGCCTGCCAACCCCAGGCCCCCTCTCCCAGTCCCCAACCCCTCCCTCTGAGCAGGTGATCGAATGTCAGTGAAAAGGTAAGCAGCCAGATTGGCATTCCCCCCCCTGCACTGCCCCAGGCCCCAAGGTCCTCTCTTCTCTGTCCCTAGGAGGGTAGTTGCTTTAAGTGCAGTCTCCCGGCCCCACCCCTAGAGAGCCAAGTGCAGGAGACAGGAGGCTGGGAACTGGGTTTTCAGAGACCAAGTTCAGGGCGTTTGGGTATTGGTGGTGCCTTGTCACCGCCCATGTGTCCAGCCACACAAATGCATACGTGTCAACCCCAGGAACCCCTGCACAGAGTCATTACTGCACAAAGCCATGCCCCCAGACACGGCCATGCAGGTGCGGTTCCATGTCCCAGAATGCCACGGACTCCCCAAAGGATCCCTGTCAGGCTGATACCTCTCTGTGACTCAGTCTCTCCACCGGGGCAGTGAGGCAGCTGGCTGTGACCCCATGTGTGTTCACAGGCAGCTGTGCACACTCAGGCACATTTGACCCCCCACCCATACACACAGACACAGATACAAAGAGACACAGGCAGGCACACGCACACTCGAGAGGGGCATGAGGCACGCACAACTCTACAGACACACAGAGAGAGGCTCACCTGTAGAGTCCTGGACACACGTGAAGACACACACATGCCAACACACGGATGGATACACACAGAGACAAGCACAGACACTCATTGCTAAGTGGATGCACACACACACACACACTCTCTCTCTCTCACACGCGCGCGTGCGCGCACACACACACACACACACACACACACACACAAACATGCACATGGACACTCGCTCTCCTCTCCCCATTTTCCTGGCCAGACTCCACAGGAGAAGCTCTTGGAAAAGAAAAACAATGCGAGAGCCTGCCTGCAGGGGCGGGGAAGGAGGCAGGAAACCCAAGTGCCAGCCAGGCAGCCTGGGCTGTGCTAGACATGGGGGATGGGGGGGAGGTTTGGGGGTCCTGGGGCCCAGGCCCTGTCTGCCGGGCCCTTCCTGCAGCCCCCACACTGAGAGGGTCACATGGCAGGGGCCACTCCCCCCCCCCCCCCCCCGACGCTGCCTCTGGGAGGTGCCAGGCCTGTTGTGGGCTCGGCAGGGCGGGGGTGGCCTGCTCCTTCCAGGAATCCGCAGCCGGTCGCCGAAGGGGCAGGGCGGGCACCACCCAGGCCCCTCATGGCTTCCAGGCGCCCGAGCTAAAGGCAGCCTGGTCTGGCCCTTCCTGGGGGCTGGGGGGCTGGGGGGGGGAGGAAGGACAGCAGCGGGGACAGAGGGCCTCTGAACAGCCCTCCTGCTCTCCCTCCAGTGGCCCAGTGGCCCCCGGGGGTGCGCATGCCTACTGTGGGAAGGAGTCGGGTCCGGGTCCAAGGTTGGTTTTCTGGAGAAGCCCATCCCTAGCACAGGAGGAACCCTGCAGGCCCACAGATTCAACCGGACCCTGCCACGCATCGCACCCCCTCCTCCCCCCCCCCCCCCCCTCCACATAGCACAGCCTTGGGGACAAAAGCTCACACAGAGCCTGGTAACGCACCCCCGACACACAACACAGCCCAGCCTGGCTGCAGGGACAGGCTCTGGCCGCCCTGCCCGCTGCCCTCACCCGCCAGGCTCTGTGGCTTCTTCCCATCGCTGGGCCCGGGTGGCTTCCTGATTCCTCGAGGCCCGTGGCCGGCAAACTCATCCGTCCACAGAGCCGAATAGCAACAGGACAACAATGGACATTTCTTTTTGGAAAGCCAAATTTTTTTAAAACTTAAACTTCTTCTGACACCACTTCTTCAACATAGACTCGCCCAGGCCGTGGTATTTTGTGGAAGAGCCACCCTCCAGGGGCCAAAGAGCCACGTGTGGCTCATGAGCCGCGGTTTGCCGACCACGGCCCTAGGTGGTCATCGCACCTCCAGGAGCAGGTCCAGGAGGACCCGGCCCCTGCAGACGGCAGGGACACTCCCTCACTCCACCTTCCCTCTCCTGCCTCCTGCCAGCCAGATGGGTCTACTCCTGCTCCATCCCTCAGACTCTGAACCCCCCCTCCTTCAAGCTCAGTCCCATTACCTCCAGGAAACGCCTTCACCTTCCCAGCCCCCCCACCCCCCGCCCCCCGCCCAGGGAGCACAGCCCCACAACCCTCCGCCGCCAGAGCTGGCCAGCTGCCCGCTTCTTGCAGCTCCAGCTTCTGCCTATCCAGGCGGGACTCTTGTGCCACCCAGAGCTTCTAGGACTGGCCTGGCATTGAGCACCAGCTTCAGGCTGGGAGGGTGGAGAGCAGAGGCTGACCTGTGACCTGCGTACCCTTAGCTGGGCCACAAGGCTGAGTAGGACCCGGAGCTCCCGAACCCCAGCCCTCAGCTACCCTCGCCGCTTCAGACAGCAGCTGGCCACTCACTCCAGCACGGAAGCAAGGATGTTTTCACAGGATGCTTGCCTCAGGCTAGGATCGGGTTTGTCTACAGGAAGTGGCCAGTGGTTCCTGCTGGCTGCGGACAGGTCTGGAACATCTCTCCCTCGTTTCTCTACCAGCAAACTCCTACACATCCTTCAAGACCCACCTTCCGTTCCCACTCGGCTGGGACGCCTTCCCTGACCTCGTTCATGCACAGATGATGTGAACGAACCCAAAGCACTGGCCCCTCCCTGTATTTTGGCAACGGCCACATGCTGAAGTTCACAAGGGCACCTGGGTCTTGCTGGCTGTCAGCACTGGCCCAGCAAACAGCAGGCGCTGCATAAATGCTTCCCGGGCTATGGATGGAAGATGGACAGGTGCACCGAAGCCGGTCTGGCTCAGTGGATAGAGCATCGGGCTGCGGACTCAGGGGTCCCGGTTCGATTCCGGTGAAGGGCATGTACCTTGGTTGCGGGCACATCCCCAAGTGGGGGGTGTGCAGGAGGCAGCTGGTCGATGTTTCTCTCTCATCGATGTTTCTAACTCTCTATCTCTTTTCCTCTCTGTGAAAAATCAATAAAATAAAATAAAAATTAAATAAAAAAGAAAAAGATGGACAAGTGGGAGTCCCCGTGACCAGGGCGAGGTGAGTCATCCTAAGGATCAGGAGTCACTCTGTGGCAGGCTCGGAGGCATGTAGGTGTCTGAGCCTGTCTGTGGCCAAGGTCAGGGTCAGAGGTTATCTTATGGCTATGTCGGTGGTCAGGCCTCTTATCTGAGAAAGCCGATTGGGCCCACAGAGGGTCAACGCTGTGTTTCGTCCTCAGCCTGTTTAGATGACTCTCAGACTCCAAAGATGGGAGGGAGCCATGCTGAAGCCCAGATGGGGGTCAGTTAGGGGGTGGGACTAGGGTGTGCTTGGTGGTCCCACGCCTCCCTTCGGCTCAGAAACCCCCTCTGTCCTCCCACAGCCTTTCAGGTGGCGCCCTGGGCCTGGCCCGGGGCCACGGGCCTGGCTGTGGGCAGGGAGCGGAGCCCAGCAGGAAACCGCAGAGGACGGCCTGATTGGATAAGTGCAGGGGCCCAGGCTGGTCAGCCACAAATTGTGGGCACCTGTCCCTCTGACCTGCTGCCTGGGCTGCAGCCACTGGGCCTCCAGGACAGGACGGAGGGAGGCACGCGGGCCCTGGGCCCTGGAGTGGGCACCCTTGAACTGGCTCAGATGCCCCCATCTTAGACGGAGGAGCCACAAAGAGAGCCCGGGTCACTGACTATAACATTTCTTTACAAATGGCCCCTCTGAGGCCCAGGGGGGCAGCTGTTCCCCACATCCACATAGAGGACCAGCAGCAAAGTAGGGGGGCGGGAGGGTGTTGGGGCACCTCTACCATGGGGTCCTCATGCATCTGGCCAAGTGGCCAACCATAGCTGGTATGGAAGAGGGGGAGCCCTCGGTGGGGGCTGACCCCAGCCCGGGCCTCTCAGCGGCTCCTTGATCTATTCATGCTTTCAGAGAAGAGTCCCACCCTGTCCCTGCTGTGCTGTGTCCCTATGCTCTCTGCGCCTGTCTTCTTAGCTCCGTGGTCGGCATACTGCGGCTCTCAAGCCACAGGTGGCTCTTTGGCCTCTTGTGTGTGGCTCTTCCACAAAATACCACGGTCTGGGCGAGTCTATTTGGAAGAAGTGGTGTCAGAAGAAGTGTAAGTTTAAAACATGTGGCTCTCCAAAGAAATGTCCATCGTTGTCCTGTTGCTATTTGGCTCTGTGGGCGAATGAGTTTGCCGACCACTGTTAGCTGAACGATGGGACTAGGCATCGACAAGACTCCTAAAAGCTCTGTCCAGCAAGTGGGCAGACTCTGTGCCCACTTGAAGCAATCCAACACCACAGCCTCGAATCCGCACCCAAGAGAGAAACTGAAGCCCCAGGTGGGGAGCTGGCCAGTCAGACACCCCCGTTAACCCCCATCAGAGCGGTGGGTAACGGGGGGCCCCTCCTTCCTCCTGGCACTTAGCCTCTGCTCCACCCGCCCCGGCTCCTTACAGAAACCCGCTTTCAGCCGGTCCACCGCCCGAACCCCCACTTCCTCGCCCTGGCGGCGGGCGGAGGGGGCTCCCGGGCCGCGCGGCGCAGTCCTGCCCACCGGGACCCCGCGAGGCCCCCATTGGCGGCCGAGGGGGCCTGGGGGCGGTGGCCCAGCCTCCGATTGGCCCACGCCGCCTGTCCATCCCGCACTCGCCCCGGTGACTACGTTGGGTCCCCCGGGAAAGTTCCAAATCCTGCCCCGCCCGCAGCCCCCTCCCGCCCGCCGGGCGGGCCCGCGGCATCGCGTGGGCGGCCCTGCACCCCAACCCCCCCCCCACTCCCCACCCGCAGCCCCTCCGCCCCGGAGGCCAGACGTGGGGGGACCCGGGAGGGGGCGGCTAGGAAGTTCCGCTCGGAGTTTGCAGCGGACGCAGGAGCCCCCGCCGCCCTCCACTTAACCCCTCGCCTCCCGCGGGAGATCGCGGCCTGGAGGGGGTTCCCGGGGCGCGGGGGCTCCCCGCCCCGTGCACGGCCGCTCCCCGCTCACCTCGGCCGGGGACCCGCGGCTCCGGACGTCCGAGCCGCCGCTGCAGGGCGGAGCGGGGCGGGCGCGGGGCTGGTGCGGCCCCGCCGGGAGGGCGCGGAGTCTCCTCCTCCCTCCGGGCAGGGGGGGGGGGTGGCGGGGAGGGAGGGGAGACGGCGGGGCGATGGCGGGGCACCCGGCCAGCTGCAGCCGGGCCGGGACCCCGGCCGTGAGCCCGGCCCGCTGAGCTGCTGGGCTGGGGGGCTGGGGCGGGGGGCGGCGGGGTCCGTTGCAGGGCGGGCGGGACCCCGGCGGAGGCCCCACCCCCGCGTGGGGCCGAGGGTGGGGGCGGAGGCTGGGGCCCGGGACCCCGCGGGGCTGGGCTCCGCTTTCCCGCCTCTGGATCCCGGGCGCCCCCGCGCCCCCCATCCCCGCAGCCGTGGGCCCTGCGGAGCGGCTCAGCGCGGGGCCCGGGAAGAAGTTCACTTTTAACGCTTTCTGCCTCTGCCAGCTCGGCCGCCGAGACGCCTCGAGAGTTGGGGGAGGGGGGTGGGTTGTGGTAAAGGGGGGCGGTGTGGGGGAGTCTGCGGTTTTGGCGGGAGGAGGCGGGGCAGACTCTGGGAGGGCCTCTCACTATATAAGGTGCCCTGGAGGGCAGACTGGGATGACTCTTTCCAGAAAGAGAACAAAAAACTCAGAGATAGTGGGGAGGTTGGGGGGGAGGGGGGGAGAACCAGGCCTGACTGGGACTTTACCTTGGAAAATAACCCCCCAAAATGCTGAAGATATATTAGTTTTAACCCATTGTAGGCATTCGAAGGATGGAAGAATCGGCTCTTGGCGACAGAAAGGTCATTTTTTTGCAAAAATATTTGAGAGTTTCAAGCCCAGGGATCACTCTGAATCCGTTATTGGTTAAATAGTCCTCTCTGAAGGTCACGGTCACTTATTTAAAACAAAACAAAACATTTTATTGATTTTTTTTTTTCAGAGAAGAAAGGAGAGGGATAGAGAGAAACATCGATCAGTCCCCTCCTACACACCCCTTACTGGGGATGTGCCCACAATCAAGGTAAATGCCTTTGACCAGAATCGAATCTGGGACCTTTCAGTCCGCAGGCCGATGCTCTCTCCATTGAGCCAAACCAGCGAGGGCTGCAGTCACTTCTCTTACAGAAATGTTCTTCCTCTGTGGTTAGTGGCTGCTCGGTTTCTAAGGCATTACTCGCATCAACTTCACGAAATCCCACACTTCTTTTGCAAGATGGGCAGTTTCGCTCTTTTTCACCGGCTTTGCATTTGCACGGTTCAACATGGGCAGCCTCTGACAGCTAGAGACATCTGCTGGTGGGGATCTGTGAGGCGTGAGAGGGAACTAGCCTGTGAATGCTGCTGCCCAGGCCCCAAGGGCAGCTTGGGGTGTGCCTGGGGCCTGTGAGATGGAGATGGAGAGGACGCAGAGGACCGGATGTCCCCATCTGAAAGCTGGGGGCATGCTCAGGGAGGCCGTTGGCTCAGACATACCCAAACCCCCACAGCCACTAAGCACAGCCATGGATCCAGAGCCCGGCCTTCCTGCCAGAGTTCCCGGAGGTGGGGTAGGGGGGAGGCAGAGGAGGTGAGCTGATGGTGAACCTGAGCTCCAGTCAGAGCGCCATGGTAGTCGGGTCTTCCCTCTTAAGGGAGGAAGCGAAAATACTTGTCTTAGCCTGACCCGTGTGCCTCAGTGGTTGGGTTTCAACTCATGAACTAGGAAGTCACGGTTCTATTCCCCGGTCAGGGCCCATGCTTGGGTTGAGGGCTGCATCCCCAGTATGGGGCATGCAGGAGGCAGCCAATCAATGATTCTCTCTCATTGATGTTTCTATCTCCCTCTCCCTCTCCCTTCCACTCTCTGAAATCAATAAAAACATATATATATATTTTAAATACTTGTCCTAGGGGTGTCTCTTTCAGGGTGTCTCTTTGGAGGAGCCACCCATTCTTGGAACCAAGATGGGTGCTGGCCGTAAGCTTGGCAGCTCACAGGAATGATCTGTTTTACACCCATCCTGTGAGCTGGATGTTGTCAACACCATCTCCTAGTGAGAAAAGTGAGGAGCAAAAGCCAAGTGGCCCGAAACCAGTTTGGCTCAGTGGATAGAGCGTCGGCCTGCGGACTGAAAGGTCCCAGATTCGATTCCGGTCAAGGGCATGTACATTGGTTGCGGGCACATCCCCAGTAGTGGGTGTGCAGGAGGCAGCTGATCGATGTTTCTCTCTCATCGATGTTTCTAACTCTCTATCCCTCTTTCTTCCTCTCTGTAAAAAAATCAATAATATATATGAAAAAAAAAGTCAAGTGGTAGGGCCATAGGGGCGGGGCGGCTCAGAGCCCAGATCTGACTCAGTTTACCAATGTCACTCATGTTCCTAAACCACACTTCCAGGCAGCCTTCAGGATGAAGTGCTAATCGGGTGTCAGCCCCAGTGCCCACCCCCCAGGAGTATCTCTCCCCAGCTCAGCATGGTGGGGTTTCAGACGGAGGCTGGTGTCAGCATTTCCCACACGTCTCTGTCCTGTAGCTGCTGCCATGTTTGCCATCAACACTTAGCACTAGTGCCATTATTTAACTTAGCTTTTTCATTTTTATTTATTTATTCATTTAAATATATTTTATTGATTGTTTACAGAGAGGAAGAGAAAGGGATAGAGAGCTAGAAGTATCGATGAGAGAGAAACATCAACCAGCTGCCTCTTGCCCACCCCCTACTGGGGATGTGCCCATAACCAAGGTACGTGCCCTTGACGGGAATCGAACCTGGGACCCTTGAGTCAGCAGGCCGACTCTCTATCCACTGAGGCAAACCATTTTCCACTTAGCCTATTTTTTAAAAATCGTTTTACATTTTAGAACATATAGGTATTTTAGGGGTGGGAAATTTGTATCAGCTGGCATAAATAGAAGAAAACCATAAAAATAAATACCATGTAAGCAAAACATCTTTCCTCCAGCTAGAGACTTTTTCTTTGTTAAAAGGGGGCATGGTATGGGCACCCATGTTTACAATTGCCAAAAGCTGGTAGCAGCCCGGATCTGCTGGTGGATGGACAGAGAGACAAAATGTGGTGCATACAAAGGACTATTTCTCAGCCTTAAAAGGGGAGGACATTCTGGCTCATGCTGCAGAATGACATTATGCTACGTCAGTGGTTGGCCAACTCATTAGTCCACAGAGCCAAACATCAACAGTACAACGATTGACATTTTTTTGGAGAGCCACATTTTTTAAACTTAAACTTCTTCTGATGCCATTTCTTCACAATAGACTCCGCAGTTTGCCAACCACGGAGCTACGTGAAATAAGCCTTCCCCGAAAGGACAGATACTAAAGCTTTATGTGGGGTACCCAGAGCAGTTAAATGCGTAGAGACAGAAAGCAGAATGCGGCGGCCATTCCAAGCTATGGAAAAAAACAATAGCCGAAACTGGTTTGGCTCAGTGGATAGAGCATCGGCCTGTGGACTGAAGGGTCCTGGGTTCAATTCCGGTCAAGGGCATGTACCTTGGTTGTGGGCACATCCCCAGTAGGGGGTGTGCAAGAGGCAGCTGATCAATGTTTCTAACTCTATCCCTCTCTCTTCCTCTCTGTAAAAAATCAATAAAATATATTTTAAAAAATATCAAAAAGACAAAAGGCTCAATTAGGGTTAAGAATGGCTTTTGTCAGGGGAAGGTCCTAGCCTCGGACATGACCGCCTGCCGTAAACTGCTTGTGGTTGAAACGTTTTCATTTCAGACCGTCCTTTGTGGCTACCTTAGGTCTCTGAGTTTGTAAGGCCGCCCGCAGGCCGCCGCTGAGGTGTAGTAAGTGGCCCCTTTTCTCCAAAGGAGCCAGCCTCCGGGGGGTTCTCTTCCCAACTGAGGTGGGGCCAGGGGAAGCCGGCGGCCGGGATCCCGGAGGGAAAATGGGGCTTGGGGCTGCAGGGCCTCCTGGAGAGCAGCCGCCCCGGCTTGCACACAGCCCGGGAGGAAGGCTGCTGGTGCGGCAACCCTCGAGGGAGCCAGGAAACCTCAGAAAGGAAGGGCCTGGTGGTCAGCTCAGGCTGCTAGTCACGGAAAACCACACCCAGCGGGAGCGTGGGCCAGGGGTCAGGACACAGTCATAGGGGACCCTGCACACAAAGGCTTTGCACTGCAGCTGGGGTTTGGGGGGCGGGGGGGCAGGGCTATGCTCCCTTGAAACCTCCCTGGCTCCCGGGGCAGCTCCCCTCTCCTTCCCACACAGCTCCCTGTGGGCTGGGCTCGGGCTGATGCTGGAAGGTCCCCGGGCTGCGAGCACAGAAGGGTGCATGCTGGGACCTGCCCTCTTCCCCTTGCTGCACCCCGACCCCCAGGGGCGGGAGGCACGCTTTTGAGCCAGAATTTTCCCACCGACATATCAGACCCCCTCTCCCTGTCCCTTAGGGTCCCCGGGAGGAAGTGGCTGGTGCAGGACAGGCTTGTCCAGGCCCCTGGATGGAGGAGAAGCTGGCCAGCCTTCCAGCCCCTCTGTCCTGGCCACGTTTTCCGAGCTCTGCCCCTGGTCCTCTCCAGGCCTCATTCTTCACATCTGCGGGCGGCTGAGGCTTGTGGAGCACTTCCGGTGACTCTGCAGTTACCTGAAGTGCAGGTAACTGGGCTAGCCCCATTTTACAGATGAGGAAACTGAGGTCCAGGAGAGAAAGGTCCAAAGACTTGCCTAAGTCCCAGCCCACCTCATGACGTGGTGCAGTCCCCGCGTCCATTTTACGGGGGGAAACCGAGGGTTCGGCGCCAGTCAGGTGTCTGTAGGCGGTGGGCCTGGCGTCTGAACCCAGGCAGTCTGCCGGGCCCTTGCGGGCGGCCCTTGCCAATCTCATCACCGATCTCATCGATTGTCAGGTCAGGGGGGGGTGTCACTCTCCCTTTCCTACAGACGGGGAAACTGAGGCTCAGCGAGTGGGGCCCACTCAGGCTGCAGAGCTGAGGTGGGCCTCGGGGTGCGCTGGCCAGCCTCCCTCCCTCCCCCACAGGCTCCACGCCGCCCCCTGCTGCAGGGCCCGGCCCGAGATCAAAGGCGGATAAGCTGTGGGTGCAGAGGAAGCCAAGGCTTC